CATTCAGGTGAGGATGAGTTAAATACACATTTGAAAGGCTGAGGGGAACCTCCTTCTGTCACAGAGATGGCCAGTAAAACATCTGGCTCAGGTAGAACCAGGGTGACATCTGGCATTTGGAGGGTGGTGGCAGGGATTGGTGGCTCCAGGGAAATGTTCCTTCCTCCTGCTCTGCAGGCAGAGAACTGTAGCTCAGGTTTAAGGTCAGAGGACAATCCTTTCCTTGTGACCACCAGAATGGCAATGCCAGCCTCATCTCCAAGGGGAGTCAGAGCTGCATCTCCTGTTGCTCCCAGGACTGTGAGCAGGCCAGAGCAGCTGGCCATCCCTTCTCCCCAACTCTGGGTAAACTGCTGATTTTAGCTGGGAGTGACCTTGGACAGATTGAGGGAGGAGGAAGCCCTGGAGAAAGGAGGTCTGGAAGCAGCCTAGGAAAGGAGAACCCATGGCAGGTCACAGCCTGCAGTGGTGGGCAATGTCATGGGGAAGGGTGCAGCACCAGCCCTGGGAGAGCAGAACAAGGAAATTCAGTCATTTAGAGACTTTCCAAGCCAAGGATGGTGTTGTAACACCTGGCTCAGCCCCCTGAGGGATGAGCAATCCTCCAGAAACAGCCCCAGCCCTCTGCCTGCAACCCAACACAACCTCTTTGGGGCAGCCATGAGCCCTGAGTGACTAAGAAAAATGCTTCCCTTGATCCCCGTTATCCCTGTGGGGTTTTCCTGGCTGCTGGCAGAGATGGAATGCTGCCCTGAGTAGCCAATGGTGATGGACAGGACTTTCCTTGGGCTGATTTCTTGTAGGCTCTGTCTCTGCTTCCCACCAGGAACACATCTGTGCTCCCTGCTACCCTCACAGCCTGGCTGTGACACACAGACCCAGCTTCTCCTCGGTGAGAGGTGCTCAGGGATGGCCACAAATGCTTTTCAGAGCCAGCCTGGAGCGTCACCAACCCTGAGAATGCTCTGAACCAAGACTCTTCAGAAAAGCAAGCTTGGTGAATTCTCCAAGGGTTCACCTGGGCTCTGGGCTACAGAGAGGCCTGGCCAGGGAGGGGGCCCTGGTCATTGTTCCCTTTGGTGGAGCAGCTCAGAGACCAGAGCTCAGCCTGGCAGGTCACTGATGCCCTTGTTTGCTCTGCAGTGTTTGCCAGGGAATATTTACCCCGCTGTGTGTGGGTGGAGGTATAACAGAGCAAGGTGAGGGCTCCTCAGCACCTCCCTTCTCCAGCAGCTTCGGTTTGCAGCGCCAGCAAGGCAAGCTCCAGGCAGCCTGTCCTGCACAGAGCAGGTGGAGACGTCTGGACCCTCCTTTTATCCCCCTGGGAGAGATCCTGAGCTCCTGGAATGTGGCAGTGTGCATAGGGATGGGCTGTTCCTGCCAGTGCTGCTCTGCTCCAGACAAGAGCCCAGCCTGGGATGGCTTTGAAATAAAATCCCAACAAGTTGTTGTGGGACAACAACTTTAAATTGAAGGAAGGTGGATTTAGATTAGGTATTAGGAAGAAATTCTTGTCTGTGAAGAAGCTGTGGCTGCCTCTGGATCCCAAGAAGTGTCCAAAGCTAGGCTGGATGGGGCCTGGATCAACCTGGGATAGCAGAAGGTGTCCCTGCCCATGGCAGGGGGTTGGATCAAGATTAATTTTAAGGTTCCTTCTATCCTGAAGCATTCTGTGATTCCATGGCTCTGTGACATGACTTTGATGCTGCTTTGCTCTTGTTTTACCCCAGCTGCCCAAGCCCACCTCACAGCTCAGGGTCCAGAGGGAGTGTGTGCCACGCTGAATCTTTTATTAGACATGAGGAAATCCACACTGCTGGGAGTGCCTGGCTTCTGAGGAGAGCTGGGGCTCACACCTTACCAGACAGACAGCAGGAAAACCACCCAGTGCTGCAGCTCCCCACAGCCCTGCCTTCTCACTGGTTTTCCTTTGCTCTCCCTCCCTCTCCCACCTCTCTCCCCTCAGCACCTGCTGATTTTTCCATGCCTGTCTCCCCTGCTGGTGCTGGCTCCAGGTGTCCAGATGCACTTCCCACTTTGCCAAGATGTCCCAGTGCACAGCTGTTGCCCAGAGAGGTGTTACACAGCAGCCACGGGCTATTCCTATATCTGCAAGGTGAAGAACTGAGAAATACCACAAAAACCTTCTCTCCAAAGCCTCAAACCACTTGTAAACAGGGTGTTAATGACAACAAACTCGGCACAAGACCAGACGTTACCCACAGAGATGAAATTTCAGACAGAATGATGGGGATGCAGGAACAGGGCCAGGACTGTGGAGGAAAGCAAAGATCAATAATGGAGGACTGAATCTTTCAGTGTGAGGATTGGAAAGACCATTCCAGTGCCACCCAGGGAAGAAATGAAAGGATTTTCTTGCATATTATGCAGGACACACGTCACTTGATAATCATTTAAACCCTTGTCTGGGCCATCCAGGGGTTCAAGCTCTGTCTGTGGCAGGAATTGACTCAAATCTTGTAAAATACCTCTGCACAGCCCAGCAAGTTCTTCTTGGGTAGGTTGAATTTGAGAGCCTGGATCACTTTTATCACCTTCCTGCTGCTCCAAGCCTCCCCTGTGAGCCTCTGGCTGGAGCTCACCCATGTGGACAGACACCTCTTGGGCTGCCAGGTTGGTATGGGGACAAGAGGGTTCTTTCTGATGGCACTGGGGACATCCTGGGCTGGAGGTCACAGGGGACAGCACCCCACTGCTCACCTGGGATTGGACTGCATGTCCATGCTCAGGAGAGCAGGTCCTTTTCTCTCCAGCTGTGGTGGAGGAGCTGCAGGGCCCATTTCCCAGGGGTTTTGGTGGGTGTTTTGTGAAATTGTGGGTGTTTTGTAAAACCATCCTCAGGGAGCTCATGTTCTCCCTCCATGCCCTGGAGAGGCTCAGCTTGGTGGCACAGCCCCAGCCTGCTTCCCCAAGGCAAGGGAAGAGTTTCCAGTGGCTTCATGGAGGAGATTATGGAGCCAGGTCTGCCCCAGGGAGCAAATTTAATGTGTTTGTTCAGCAGGAGCAAAAAGAACCATGGTGTCCAGTGCAGAGGAAGCTCAGCTCACAGCCTCTTGTTATGTTCACCCTGGGCTTGGCCACGTGCTGCAACTGGCCATAAAAATATCCATTTCCTTTCTAATTTGAGCTACAACACTTGACACTTTGGCCTTGGGTGATAATGCAATGTACAAGTGCTCAGCAGACACCCTGCAGCCCTTCTTCCTGCTTTGCTCCAGCACAAATAGTCCACAGTTTTCACTTCAATAAAATATTAACAGCCAAGGAGTCAAATAGCTTTCATCTGTATTTATTTCCTGACTATCATCTCATTAACAGGAATCTGCTGGTTCTGCATGGAGTTCCTGGGATCTGCGAGAGACCAAACTGGAATTTCAGCAAGGGGAAAGAGATTTCCTTCAACTCCAGTGAAGATATTGAATAAATGGCTTTTTTTCCCTGTGGTTTAAAATGGGCTTTGTGTAATTATAGCACATGTCACTTGTCTCTTGGGAACCACGAAGGAACTGGACCGAGCCTGATTAATCTGAAATTATTTCTAGGACTTACTAGCCTTGAGTTCACAGGGTTCAGATGGTGAAGATGGAGATCTTTTCCACAGCCCAAGATTTCCCATCCAGCTCCAAGGCAGTCCTAGAGGGGTGCAGGTCTCCCATAGACCTCCATCCACCCTCCCTATGGAAAAATTCTGGACTCTTTAGGTTTTCTGTACTAGATGTAGCATTTCTGAGACTGGGTCATCTCAGCCAGTTCCCTCTTCCTCAGTCTGGGAGATCATTTATTGTTATTAAATCCTTCTTTCCCCCTCTTTCCTTTTTCTCCCAGGCCCTTGTGCAGCAGTGGCATGAACAGGTAATTCTGTGCCGTGTCTTGGGCTTGGCTGGGTGTTTTTTCTGATTCACATGGCACAGTATCATGGGATGGTTTAGGTTGGAAGGGATCCTAAGGATCATCTCATTCCCACCCCCTGCCATGGGCAGGGACACCTTTCACTATCCCAGGCTGATCCAAGCCCCATCCCACCCAGCCTTGGACACTGCCAGGGATCCAGGGGCAGCCACAGCTTCTCTGGACACCCTGTGGCAGTGTTTTACACCCTCATTCTAAAAAGACATCTTCCTTATATCTGCTCTAAATCTACCCTATTTTAGTTTGAAAACATCGCCTCTTATCCCATCACAACAGATCCTGGTCAAAAGTCTGCCCCCATCTTTCTTACAAACCCAATCTGAATATTTTAAGGTCTACTGGAGATTTCTCTTTCCATCTGGGCTGTTTCTTTCCCATGGCAATCCCTTCTTCACTGTGAAATGCACCCTCTACAGCTGCACTCAAAATCTACTCCACGGAGGAGAAAACAGCAGATGAAACACCCCGGAGAGATGGTTCTGGAATGTTCCCCCGTGCCCCAGCCTGGAGCTCACTCCTGTGGTGCTCACACACCTCCCGTGTGCCATCTGTGCCCTTTTTCTTTGCCCTCCACTCCTCAGCCCAGCGAAACTCCTGACTGGAGCCTGAAGCCTCTTGTGGTCATTCCCCCGGGCTGGAGCTTCACCAGAAACCAGGGAAATGTCATTTGAGCCCTCCCGGCGCTGGGTGCGGAGCGGGACCTGCCGGGCTCTTGCACCGCGAGCTTGCAAGGGTTTTTTTGAAGGGTTTTATTTCCGAACTATTTTTTTTACACGAGTTTTTACTCCCCAAGAGCCGTCCAGATTGGCTGGGAAGGAGGGACATCTCGTGGCCATACCGCGAACACCTCTCCTGCTCCTCCAGCATCCCCGCATTTCCTCCCCGGGTACCACCCCAGCATCATCCCCGGCCTCTCCCTCCTCCTCCTCCGGGTGGCCGCGGGGGGGACAGGGGCTCGCTCACACCCTGTCGCCTCAATAAAGGGACGGGAAATCCTCGCATCCAGTTTTTTATTACTGACTCGAGGCAGAGCGGGGGCACCGCCTGGCAGCAGCGCTCCGGANCTCTCAGCCGCCTCTTCAGTCTCTGCGACATCCACCGAGCCGGCAGCATCCTCCTCCCCCGCGTCCCTCCTCGCTCTCCATCCCCACGCACGGCCGGGAGAAAGGGAAGGGCGCTGGTGGCGGTCCCGCAGCGCTGTCCCCAGGAGCTGGCGGGGCCGTGGCTCACTGCTGCGGCTCGGGCTCGTACTGCTTCTCCGTGGAGGTGTAGAAGTCCTCGAGCACCGACTGCAGGTACTCGAAGGTGGGGCGCTCCTCGGGGTTGCTGCGCCAGCACTTGAGGATGATGCTGTAGAGCTCGCCGGGACACGCCTCGGGACAGGGCATGCGGTACCCCCGCTCCAGGTTGCGAATCACCTCGGGGTTGGTCATCCCTGGAGGGGAACACAGCCCAGCAGGAGTTACCCGGCAGCCAGAGGGGGAAGGTCAGCAGCTCCCAGCCGGGCAGGGCTGGAGGGGCTGCAGTGGCTCCTGTGTCTGGGAATTGTCCCTTCCTCAGGGTCCTGCTTCCCCTCCGTCCCTCCGTCCTCTCCATGGTTCCCCTCTCTAGGTTTGGCTCTGCACGGTAGAACCGAGGGAAGGAAAGCCAGCTTGAAGGACTTTTTGTGACAAGAGGGACCTGGAGGGGCTGGAGCGTGTCCAGGGCAGGGAACGGAGCTGGGGAAGGGGCTGGGGCACCAGGAGAGGCTGAGGGAGCTGGGAAAGGGGCTCAGCCTGGAGAAAAGGAGGCTCAGGGGGCCCTTCTGGCTCTGCACAACTCCTGACAGGAGGGGACAGCTGGGAGGGTTGGGCTCTTCTCTCAGATAAGAAGAGGAAATGGCTTCAAGTTGTACCAAGGGACATTTTGATCAGATATTAAAAACAATTCTTTGATGGGAAGTGCTGTCCAGCCCTGGCACAGCTGCCCAAGGCAGTGCTGGAGTCCCCATCCCTGGAGGGATTTTCCAGATGTGTAAATGTGGTGGTTGGGGACATGGGTCAGTGGTGGCCTTGGCAGTGCTGGGTTAATTCAATTTAGGGGCCTTTTGCAACTTTAACAATTCTGTGATTCCAGGAGACAGCTGTGTGTGTCTGGGCACACTTCAGTGAGCACCTCGGGACGAGCCAGGAGCAACACGGGATCCTTGGAAGGGCCGGGACACTCATCCCGTATTCCCAGCACCTGGTACCTGGAAAAGGGATCCTGCACCTGTTTAGGGCATCCTGTACCTGTTTAGGGCATCCTGTACCTGTTTAGGGGATCCTGTACCTGTTTAGGGAATCCTGTACCTGGATAAGGGATCCTCTACATGGATAAGGAATCCTGTTCATGGATAAGGGATCCTGTACCTGTTTAGGGCATCCTGTACCTGGTTAAGGGATCCTGTACCTGTTTAGGGGATCCTGTACCTGGATAAGGGATCCTGTACCTGTTTAGGGGATCCTGTACCTGGATAAGGGATCCTGTACCTGGATAGGGGATCCTGTACCTGTTTAGGGGATCCTGTACCTGTTTAGGGGATCCTGTACCTGGATAAGGGATCCTGTACCTGTTTAGGGGATCCTGTACCTGTTTAGGGGATCCTGTACCTGTTTAGGGGATCCTGTACCTGGATAAGGGATCCTGTACCTGTTTAGGGGATCCTGTACCTGTTTAGGGGATCCTGTACCTGGATAAGGGATCCTGTACCTGTTTAGGGGATCCTGTACCTGGATAGGGGATGCCGTACCTGGATAAGGGATCCTGCCGTAGGTGATGATCTCTGTCAGGAGGATCCCAAATGACCACACGTCAGATTTGATGGTGAAAACCCCATAGTTAATGGCCTCTGGAGCTGTCCATTTGATGGGAAATTTGGCACCTGTCCCAAAGGAAACAAAGGGAAATAACTCCTGGATCTAGAGCATCTCCCTCACCTCCCACAAGCAATTCCCCCAAACTGACCCCTGGCTCCCTTGGGCTGTTGATTATGATTCTGTGGCTCTCCCTAGGAAAGGGGCTCCAGCCCTTTGATTATCTGCATGTCCTCCACTGGACCTGCTCCATCCCAGAGCTGGATGGAATACTCAGAAACAATTTGGCAGATTTATTGTGAGACAACAACCGTAGGATTTTTATTCTGTATAAAACTTCTTTGGCTTTCGCCAAGGAAAATTGGATCAGGTGATCCTTGAGGTCTCCTTCCAACCTGGTACTGTGTGATTCTGTGGAATCACTTATCAGAAGGGGGTTGTTTTTGGCAGAAATGCATAAATATTACAACAAATATAAATTCCCCAGTCCTTGAAGCTGCATAGTTTTATTAAAACCAAAATAAGCCCCATTTTATTTTGTCCATCATGTTCTTGCTGAACCCACTGTGGGCAGCAATGACCATAAGGTTGCAGTTTCAATTTAGCTAAGATAAAAAAAACAAAACAAAACAAAACCAAAAACAACCAACAGCAAAACCACCCTGATAAGTGGGAACTGATCATGTTACACTGCAGAGGAAACCACATTTTTATTTATACACATCCTTGCAGGACTGGAAATCCAATGCAGGGTGTGAAATAAGTGTCTCAGTTGTTGCACATCACACTCTGAGTGACAAAATTGGGAAATGCAATCTATGAAGTGAGAATTGCTCAGAGCAGATAGAAGGGAGCTGTTATTCCAGAGCAAAGCTTGCTGGAAAAATGCTGATGGAAACTGTTTTCCAGTGGAATAGAAGATCCTTTGGTTATTAAGAGAATTACACTGATTTCATCAAAGCTCCTCTTAAGGATAAAACTGCCTTAAAAATTTGCAGCAAAATCGAAGTTCTCCTCATGGCAGTTTCCAAATTACATTTTAATATCCTGAAATAGTTTTGCATGTTGAAATGGGCATAATTTGTAGCAAAAAGTATTTGGGGGACAGGAAATTGAAAAAAACCTGATTTCTTATCTTATTTTAAAAAGCTCACAAAACAAATTAAATTTCCTTTCCTCAGGGAATACTTTAAGGGGAATTCTATCTCATCCCAACTCTAGAAGAAAAAAGATTTCCAAAGTTTGAAAATCTTCTGGTAAGGGCCACTTATGCCTGACTTAATTATTTTATTTCAGTCACTTCTGTTGCTTTCCCTGATGCTCTGTAGAGCCCCTTTGCAATCTGAATGATTTCTAAATGATTCCATGATTTATTGTTTTCTAAGTGATCCCTCTGCTGTGGAAGGGACCTGATGTGGTTTGGTTTGTCTGGCACACCTGGAAGCTGCTGCTGGATCCAGATTTGTGGATTTCCAGCTCTGTTAATTCCTTCCCTGTGGATGGACCCCTGTGAAAACCTGGCCACAGGCAGCAGCTTTCATTAGCTGAGGTCAAATTTCCCCAGCAAACAACTGGAGAGGCAGCAGGACTCCCTCAAACAGAACCAAAAGAGCTTTTTTCTCATCTCCCTCTGCAGCTCTCAATTGATTTTACAGTCCCCAAGCGCTGCTGCCTCCCCCAGGACTGGATTTTTGGGTGTTTCTGTCTCTTGCCCGGTGCTGACAGCAGCAGCCCCGCGGGCTCTGGTGCCCTGTGCCCGATGCCAGCCCGGTGTCCTGGCATTCCTGGGGGCAGGAGGGCGGGAGGCTGGGAAGGACACCCACCTTCCTGAGCCAGGTACTCGTTCTCGATGAGCCTGGCCAGGCCGAAATCAGCGATCTTGCAGCAGAGCGTCTCCGAGACCAGGATGTTGGCAGCCCTCAGGTCCCGGTGGATGAAGTTCATGCGCTCGATGTAGGCCATGCCCTCTGCCACCTGGGAGGGGAGGAAGAGCCCATCCTCATCATCACCTCCCCAGGCTATCTTTGCTGCTTCTCACCCTCCTTCACAATGCACAGCATTTTTACAGGGTTGCTGCTATCTCCCCCTGATCATGGATGTGCCTCCGTTCCCCATGGATGGATGGACAGGTGGACCAGCAGACAGGTAAATAAATATCTGCTGCCCTTGTACAGGTGCAGATATTCATCTTTACCTGCCTGAGCAGACAAGTGAAGTAGAACAGAAGCACCACTCTCTGTCCTATTCAGAAGGCACAGCCCTGAGTCGTGTCTGCAGCAAAAACCACATCACTGGATTCCCAGTTCCTGCCACAAGTCTCACCTCTCCAGTGGGGATTTTAGTCATGAATATTCCAGGTTAAAAATGTGAATTAAGATAAGGAAAAAACAAAACAAAACACAAAAACATCAAACTAGGAAATCATAGAACTATAGAATGGTTGGAAGGGACCTGAGGACCTTAAAGATCCTCTCATTCCAACCTCCTGCCATGGGCAGGGACATCTTCCACTATCCCAGGCTGGCCCAAGCCCCATCTAGCCTGGCCTTGGACACTTCCAGGGATCCAGGGGCAGCCACAGCTTCTCTGGGCACCCTGTGCCAGGGCCTGCCCACCCTCACAGGGAAGAACTTATTCCTAAAATCTAGCTGAGGTACCTGGTGTGTGATGAGCCTCCATCAATGACAGCAGCAATATTTCATTGATGAGTGCTGGGGGTTGAGAAGGGAGATTGGTAGAAGACAGGGGCTGCCAGGTGGAGTCTCAGATTTGGACTGGGCATTAATTGGGAAGGTGAGTGGATGTGTGCAGCCCCTGCCACCTATACCCTATAGGGGTAGCACCTATTAAAGCTTTTAAGTGCCTGTGGGTGAGGGCAGAGCAGTTTTCCACTCCATGCAGATTCACATGAGCCTCAGAACTCACGTGTGGTTTCAAACAGGATACTCACACGTACTTTCCAATGCTGCATTTCTAACCTGTGTCAACACCCCTCTAGTGCAAGGGCTGGTTTCTACAGTGGAAAATGGAAGAATTGATGTAATTTCCTGTCCTGATGTTAATGAGATAGGACCTGGTGCTCGGCCTGTTCCAGCCCAGAGTGTTTTTAAGCATTTACCCTCAAGACTGACCACAGGATCGAGTGCCTCGGCCCAGACTGCTCTAATTTTAACTCCCACGGATGTCATCGGATCAAAAAATGCGCTCAAGAGGGTTGGGAGCCTGTTGGGCTGCGATGTCACCCCAACACCACAGATAAACAGGTGACAAAATAGGTCAGTAGACTGCCCTTTCCCCCTGCTGCTCCTCCCAGAGATACCCAGGGAATGTGAGTCCCTGCCCTGGGGAGGTGGTGCTGGGGTGGGAGAGGGAAGGATGAAAGTTGCTCTTCCAGTGCCTCAGGGATGGGTAAAATCCTTCCTACCCCATGCTGAGGGTTACTCCTGTGGGTGTTGCATGATTGGGGTGTGGGGGTTTGGTCTGTGTTCAATTATCCTGGTCCTGCTGTGGGGTGCAGTTTGTCCAGAGAAGCTGTGGCTGCCCTGGATCCCTGGGGGTGTCCAAGGCCAGGTTGGATGGGGCTTGGAGCCAGCTGGGATAGTGGAAGGTGTCCCTGCCCATGGCAGGGGGTGGAATGAGATGATTTTTCAGGTCCTTCCAACCCAACCCATTCCATGATTCCATAATTCTGTAACATTGACCAAAATCTTTGCTCTGAGTCACCCAGAGATTGCTCTGGCTTCGGCAATTTCCTCCTGCACAGAAATGCATCTTGCCAATTTCTAGGGAATGCTCCCACTAAACCCAAGGGCTCTGTGATATGGATTAACTGGGATCATTTTCCTTATCCTCAGGAATTTATCACAAACCACAAGCTATAATTTTCAAGAAGGGAATGAAACGATGAAGGATGGAGGGAGGGCAGTGGGGATTTCAAGAGAGGAGGGAAGGAAGGAAGTAATTAAGTTGAATACCCTGAACAGGAAGGGTGAATTTGTCCCCATAACATCTCACAGACAATAATGATGAAGTTGCAGATACGGAAAATTTATCAGTAGTGAAGAGGGAAGGAACAGAAAGAGGTCCCTCTGCACCCCTATGGACAGTTCAAAGTAAAAATTACAGAAGGTGGCACTTCTTCAAAGAATTTAAATCTTTTCATCCTGATTAAAGCAAGAAGGAAAGTCTTTCACTATCATAAAACATCTCCTCAAATATTAAGATTCTCCAGTTGTTAATTCATTACAAAGTAACTCTACATAAGGGCTGGAACCAGCAACCTTTACATGTTGTTTCCTCAAATCCACTTTGACAAGAGAAGCTGAGTGATTTTGTGGATAAATCCCAGAACTTTATTCAACCTGATCCTTCAGGGTTTTTTCCCTCAGTATTTCCTAATTAGCCCAGCTCTGCTCTGGATGAGCCAAATTCTGTCAACAGCTGGCTGGGACCAAAATTCAGTGATTTTGCCATTCTCATTCTTCATGTGGTTTCCCTAATTTTGCCCTATTTGTGTTCAGAGGCACTTCTGGACAAAAATGTTACAGTGCAGCTGCAACTATTAAGATTTGCAGGCTGGAGATGCTTAAAAGTTAAAAGTTTGTTTTCCTAAAGAACAATATTCCCAGATTTGAGAGTCAGGACATCCTTTATGCCTCATCATCAGAAGGGCAGAATTGCTTCATTGGGAGTCTCTTTGCTGAACTTTTTTTTCTTCTTCTTCTTTTTTGGTAAAAAGAAAAAAAAACCAAACTTTATTTCCTGCTGAATAAGGGTGAAAAGCAAAATAAATAATATCAGAACAAAATAATCTCAACCACCCTCCCAAAAGCCCCAAACTCCAGGTCTCTAGCCCTGCACTAAGCTATCAGAGGGCTGCCCTAAGGACAGAACTGATATGCACATGGACACAAGAGAGATGAGGAGAATCCCTAGGAGAACACACCAGGAGGAGCTGTTTTTCTCCAGGAAATCTTTGCTCTGACTTCAGGCTTGCAGGAGTTCCACACTGAGGCAATAACAAATCTTGGACCCTTTTCCCAGCTACTGTTCACTGACCTGAGCAGACATATCAATGAGTTTGGGGAGACTCAGCTGGCTTCCTTCTTCTGTCTTCAGGAAATCCAGCAAACACCCTGCAGGAGAGAAGGGACTGCTGGAACTCTTCTGAATAATCTATAAATTTGTTTTCCCTGGTGCTTCTCTGAATACATGTAACAAATCTGCCTCCATCCTAAGGAAAATCTGAGGAACCAGAATGGGTGTCCACTGCAGCATCTTCCATTAGGAAAGCTCCCAAGCAGCCCAAATTCCCCTCTGTTTTTGCATGGATCTGTTCCAAACCACTGGGCATTCACTGTTTAAACTTATCAACAAGAGGGGCAAAAGAAAGGACAATTTCACCATGAGGGGAGAACAAACTTCCAGTGAGAACAGTGGAGAGGAGAACTTTAAACACTCTTCAAATGGAGCATCACCATGGTTTTTTCATCACCCAGAGAGTCTCTGTAGTAGAATCAAACTATTTGGGTCACTTTCTTGCACATTTGGTACCACCCCTCCTGCCCACCCTCATTCTGCAAGGGAGCATTGGCCAGATCACCCAACTGGTTCTGCAAAAGCCCAGCCAGGAGCTCCAGGAGGGTTTTTACCATTGGCCATGTACTCTGTCACGATGTAGATGGGCTGCTTGGTGACCACGGCGTACAGCCGGACCAGCTTGTTGTGCTGCAGCTTCTTCATCAGGTTTGCCTCTGCCAGGAAGGCGTCAGGATCCATGCTGCCCTCCTTCATGGTCTTCACAGCCACCTTGATGTTGTTCTTGTAGTAGCCTGCGGAGAGATTGTGACGTTTTGGGGAATTTTGGGCTCTCTGCAGGCTCTGTGGGGTGGTGTAATAAGGAGAGGAAGAGCTCCTCTAGCAGAAAACCACAGGAACAGCTTGAATCCCTCATAAAGGAAGACATGGTAACTCCCAGTGCCAGCAGGTGTGAGAGGAGAAGGGACACTCGTGCCACAGCTCTCAGTCCATGAGGCTGCACCAGGGATCGTCCCTGCTCTGAGCCCATCCTCACACCACCCTCCCAGACCCATTCTGGGTGAAAAACCCCTGGGGGCTCCCGCCAGCTGGGCTCTCAAATCATCCAAATGCCATCCAAAAAGGCAGGACTGTGCAGACAGCACACAAAATCAGCCCAGTCCTGCCCACAATCTCAATTTCCAGGGCAGCCAGCAACCACAAAGAGAGTGGCAAAGGAAGCTGAGCTCCCTCAACTTCCTCTCTTGCTGATTAGCAGAAGGCAGGAAGGCATCAGGGATGGAGATCAGGGGTAAAAAGTGGAACAGGGAGGCAGAAAAAGTGGGAAAATGTCACCCAGGTACCCTACTGGGTGTGACTTAGGATCACTGGCATCACTACAGTTGTGCCCAGGATTCCCAGGAAGAATGAGTGCATATCCCAGGAGAAGAGTAAATAGTGACTCCAGCACACATCCCCTGTGAAGCCCTTGCTCAACCACTGATCTGTGCAAACATGAGCTGCCCAGTCCTTCCCAGCAATCCTGCAGCAAATCCTGTGAGTGTACCCATAAATATGTGCTTGTCCTCAAGAATGCCCACCCCCAGGATAGCCTTGCCTTAGGGAAATAAAAGAGCTTTCCATTTTCTCTCCTTAAGCCTTTTTTTTCCCTGGAATGGAGGGGATTCCACTTACCCATCCACACTTCCCCAAACTGCCCACTGCCCAGCTTCTTCACAAGCTTCAGGGCCTCCCGAGGGATCTCCCACTCGTCCTGGGCCCAGGGTCTCTGGGGAACCAGGGATGTGCAGGGAGCTGTGAGGCGCTGGCACAGCCCATCCCCTTTCTCTGGATGAGGACAAAGCACAGGAGAGTTCAGTGGGACGGCAGAGAAAACCTCCTCCTCCATCCATGAATGCCAGGAAAAATCAACCTGTGGAAACCTTCACAACCTCACAGGGAAGTGGTGGAGTTCCCAGCCCTCCAGGGATTTAAAAGCTGTGTGGATGTAGCAGGTGGGGACATGGGTTAGGGGTGGCCTTGGTAGTCCAGGGGGAACAGCTGGATTCAGTGCTCTTAGGGGGCTTTTCCAAACTTTATACTTCTATGATTTCATGAAAAGTTTCAGCCACGGGGATCAAGGCACACAGAATGGTCCAAGTCAAAGGGAAAAGCTCAAAGGAGCCATAGAGGAGCAAATTATGCTGCCCAGTTATTCCAAACCCTGCTCCCCATGCATCCCTCCTGCATATCCTGACAGCATTCCCCTCTTTCCTTTCCTGATAGGAGTTTGGAAACTCCCTGACTTTAGGGCTGGGGACAGAGCCCCCCCTTGCAATTCCCTGGGATGGAAACCAGGGTTCTGGTTGTAGGATCACACCTGGCCCATGGGAGCAGCTGTGGTGTCTCCCAAGCTCATCATCCAGGGACAGATCCCTGCTCTCTTCCAGGACACAGATCTGTGAGGGAAGGCAAACAACTCACGGCTGTAATGATGGATGAGCTCTGGCAGGCTGGAGAAAGTCATCCTGGGGGAGATGTAGTACCCTCCCCCATCCAGGGAGCGGATCCTGTAGTGTTTGATGATGTCCCCGTGAGCAGAGTCGTTGTCTCTCACAGACAGGGAGTAGGCATCTGGAGAAGGACAGAAGGAGCTGTGAGGACAAACTGCCCCACAGTCAGGGCCCAGCTGAATGTTCCCTTGGCTTTCCAAACCAGCCCTGGCTGATGCCTTTCCAGGGCAAGTCCCCCAGAATTCACAGCTGCACCACACTTCCCTCTCTCTGAGGCCAGGGGACAGGACAAAAGTTCATCAGAGCTTAACTGGTCCTGTGCAGGTTGTTGGATTAACACCTGCCTGTGCCCTGGCCAACAGCCCCATGGAAGCACTGTGGGGACCAGCAGCACCTCTCCAGGCAGAGCAGTCAGATGCTCCCTAGGTCAGGATGATTTTTTTCACAGCTCCATATTCCCATCTGAGCTCTGCCAAACTCAGCATGGTGAATCAGAATGGTTTGGGTTGGAAAGGACCTTAAATTTCATCCAGTCCCATCCCCTGTCATGGGCAGGGATGCTTTCCACTATCCCAGGCTGATCCAAGCCCCATCCAACCTGGCCTTGGGCACTTCCAGTGATCCAGGGGCAGCCACAGCTTCTCTGGGCACCTGTGCCAGGGCCTCCCCACCCTCACAGCCAAGAATTTCTTCCTAACATCCAATCTAAAACAACCCTCTTTCAATTTACAGCCATTTAAAGCCATTCTTCTCTGGATTAAACATTATTAAACCTCGTGCCAAGGTCAGTGGTTCGACCTGGGGGGTACAGAAGGTGGGTCCAGGAGAATTGTTTTGTTCAGCCACAAACTTGTGACTGTGGCCAAGTCAGATCTAGAGATTCCCATCTGGAATCTCGTCCCTTTTGGGCTTCCAGACAACTGCTCAGCCATCCACCACTCCAACCTGCTGTTCCCTCTGTGAGAATCTAAACCTCCAAAGAGGTTGGGTTTTTAGTGCACAAAAGCATCACTAGGTGTTGCTGCAGAGCAGAACTTCCAGCCTGAGTCAGTGTGATTCAGTTCAGCTTAGCAGTGGGGATTTTTCCCTTTTGTCTGGGTCATATTTCTGGAGTGAGTTGTTACAAGCCCGTTTGGCTGTTCTGGTATGTCACCCGGGCTGACAAACTGCCCATTTTTGATGTTTTTTTAATGAAAAGGCAAGGCTATACATGTTTAAAAGTGTGTGTCTGTTCATGCAGGACCATGAAAAGAAGCAGGGCCATCCACAACAACTCTGAAACCCAAATCCTGCACATGAGGGAAAGATTTATTAACATAAAAATCCTCACTGGCTGGTGTTTCTCCATCCCAGAACCAGCAGTTTTCCTTACACTGTGCCTGAAAACCTTTTGCACTTATAAAAAGCAGCAAAAAAACCCTCACCTCTGTGGATAATTGCTCTGTTGGAGCGATCATAAATCTTTACAGGCAGAATTTGGAAGAGCCTAAAGTTATTTCCAAGCACCAGCAATCATTTTGAGGGGACTCCCTTCCTGCAGAGACCAGATCTAGCGGTGTAAAATTCATGGAAAAAACCTGGTGGCTTAAATGCAGAGCCAGGGAACCTCAAATTTGATGTTCTCCTCAGCAGAAAAAGCTCTTCTGATTCTCTTCCCTTCACCATGAATGTCAGGCAGGAGACAAATTGAGAAGCCCTTTTGATTTGATTAGTCCTGGAGTTGAACAACTGAGAAACAGCCCAGGGACATCCTCAATGGGGCAATAAAACCTCGAGGGAAAGGCAAAGAAATGGCTCTGCTGCCTCCTCTGTGGCACCCATGTGGCCCTAAGTTGCAAAATAATGATGATAAACATCAAGCCCAAAGGCTGGACTCGGTAATCTTAAGAGATCTTTTTCAACCTTAATGATTCTGTGAGTCTGTGAGGAAGAATATGACAATGATGACAACATTATATTATTATTATTATTATTATTATTATTATTATTATTATTATTATTATTATTATTATTATTATTATTATTATTATTATTATTATTATTATAATATTAATTACTATTATTATTACTACAATTACTGTAAATTACTATAATTATTACAATTACTATTACTGTTACTATTACTATTATCATGCTATTATTAACTTCCATTATTGCTGTTGAGGGTGATGATGTTGTTTTTATTTCAAAGAGACAGAAATACTGCCCAGGCCAGGCTGCAGCCCAGGAGCTTTGGGCTCACGTGGCACAAGACTGAGAGGGTTCTTGGTGTGCCTGGGACCCTGTTAGGGTTTGTGTGGGATTTTTACAGGGCCAGGCCTGCTCAAGGAAGGAGCCAAACGTGGTGTGGAGGCAGCTGCACTCAGGCCAACCAATCCTGCAGAAGGAAATCCAGGAATTGATGACAAACACGTCTGTAAGGGGGTGTCTGGGGGCTGAGAATCAGCAGGGAAGAGGAGACCAGCCCTGGCTGCCAGTGTGGTTGTACCCTAAATATTTTGCTCCCACAGGATCTCCTTTCCAGGCCCCACCAACCCTTTAAACTCCCCTGCACCTTTCAAACAGAGACAGGGACAATCTCAGCTGCCAGGGCTAATTCTTACCCTGTCATTAAGCTAATGAGTGGATCTCAGCCCCAGTCACAGTTTGATTTGTTGCAGGGAATGTGGTGGAGCTTCCCTCTCACTGTCCATGGCCGGTTCCCTTGGGAGCTCCTGTGCAGAGACAATGCACTAAAGATGGAAAGATTCACTTCTTCCTTCACAGAATCACAGAATGGTTTGGGCTGGAAGGATCCTTAAAATTCATCTTGTTCCACCTCCTGCCATGGATAGAGACACCTTCCACCACACCAGGCTGCTCCATGCCCCATCTAACCTGGTCCCTGCTCCCAGTGACAGCAGAAAGTGAAAATCAGTGACTCCTAATTCCCCCTGATGATATGCAGGAGAGACAAAAGGAGTCCTTGCTCCTCAGCCACAAGGGATATTCACCTGTTCTGCAGTCCTGCACCACATCCTGGCACAGATCTGGGCTGGTAGAGTCGAGAGTACAAAATTCATGGAACAATTTCTGCATCAAAAGGTTGACCAGCCCTGGCACAGCTTCCCAGGGCAGTGATGGAGTCCCTGGAAAGGTTTAAAAGCCACATAGGTGTGGCACCTGGGGACCTGGTTTAGTCCATTTCCTGCTCCTCCAGCTCTCAGCAGCCCCTTAAATCCTTCCCAAGGAGGAGCTCAGCTGGGTGCAGAGGCTGAGCTCAGTGAGGTCCCTCCTGCCAGGAGCAGAGACACAGGAATCCTGCTGGGAGCTAGGAGCCCTTGGCTCGGCACAGCTGAGGGAATGTGATCCTGCAGCTTGGGGAATGATTGTTACTTCAGGGGGACTTTGTTTATTTGCAGCAGCCTCAGCAAGGACAGTGCTCCGCTGATGATTTCACTGCCAGCCCGCTTCCCACACTGTCCCAGCTTCCCAGGGTGCTGGATGTGCCTTTCCTGGACTCTGACAAGTGTTGACTCTGAAGATTTGCAGAGTTTCTGCATCTCAAACCACGAGGAAAACGAGACTCTGCTTAGGATGGGCAGGACATTGGTGCTGCCCCACACAGGGTGCAGAACCCATCCTGCGCCGTGCCTGAGACATCCCAGTATGGGACAGCCACCTCCCAGTTTAGGTCACTAATGGGATTTAGCTCAGACCAGTGCTTGTCCCTGATGGTCCAGTTTTGCTGGTGATGTGTCAAGTGAATGAAAACAGAAAAACAGTGGGGCTACAAGGCTGGGGTTAATTCCATGGTTAATGGAATCTATTGCTCTGGATATCTCTTGGTGGGGCACAGGGTGCTTTACGTCAGGGAATTCAGCTCCATGGCACATTTGGGGATGCCTGGCTTTGTCTTTTCCCTTCCTCTTTAGGGAGGAGGAAGCTGTTGCTAAGATGGATCAAACGTGGTCATTCAGGCAGCCCAAAGCACAGGGTGCTCAGGTAGCAGCTGCACACACAGGATGATTCAGAGGATGAGGTGTTTGAAGCAACAACACCCATGTTTTATCCTAAATATCAGAAAAGGCATAGGGCAGAGACACATCTGAGCATCTGGAAATCACATGGGGCTTCCATGAAGGGGAACCCACATCTGCTAATGCAGAATATCACACACTTCATTCTTCCTGACGGCACAAACAGGGCATCAAGGATCCGGTGATTTCTCCTTGGATTTCAGGACTCCACCACCTCTGCTCAAGCCCTGTGTGACCAAGACCCACCCACACTCCAGATAATTGCAGAAGTTGGGGACAATTGTAGGGAAAGGTCTGATCCCATGCATGTGTGGCACCTAGACATGCCACAGAGACCAGGATCATGTGTGGGCAGAGCTTCAGACACAGCACACGAGTGTTTGCTTTGTGTTGCTCCCCAGATATCCCAGCAAACAAAGGGAGAGTGGGAGTGGGATAAACAGAAGAGCAGCACATGGTGATAGATCCAAGCCTGATCATTGCAAAAGCACCACAAAGGTAGCAGGGAAACTGAGATACAGCAGAAAAAGTGACTTATAAAGTGAAATGCTTTGAAACAAATCTCTTAATTGTTTCCTGAACTGAATGTTCCCTAAAAATTCTGAAAGCTGCAAATCCTTATGGATAGCAGCTCTCCTGCTTGGCATCAGCTCAGCAGGGACGTGTGGAGGTGAGCCCAGGCACAGGGCAGAGGGGGAAATTCAAAGCAGGATGCTAAGAGTGTGACACAGCACCACATCCCTGGCAGCTGAGGGAGACAGAGACTGGATGAGATTCCAGCTGCTGCATCCAGACCCTGGCACTATTTAATTTTCTGGAGGGAAGTGGTGGAAGGAACACCTCCGTGGTGGAAGGAACAGATGCTGCCTTGGAGACCTCCCTTGTGAACAGGAGGAAAAAAGAGACAAGAAAGGCAGAAGGAGACTCTACCATAGAGCCTTTTGTAGGATGGAGGAACCAGAATGTTCCCTCTCTGTTTGGGCCTTTGGAAGTATTTGGGAAACAAGTCAAAAAGAAGGTTCCATAGGATTTCAGACAGATGCTCCAACTCTCCACTGAACAAGTCACAGCCGGACGCTGTGATCTTAGCGGTTTTCCAACCTAAACAACTCCTTGATTCTGTTGGGAAGACACAAAGCACCTTTTCTTAAGGAAAAAGTCCTGCATCCATTTGGAGGGAAAGGAACCTAATGACAGCAAGACTGAAACACTTTCCTGAAGTACTCCATGGATCTGGTTCAGAGCAGAACCACGGGACCACCACCATCATCAGTTCCTCCGTGCTGTCAACACACATGAGGGCCCAGAGGAAGCAAAGAGAAAAAAAGTAGGAAAGAAACAACATGAAATTCCCATGGGACAACCTAAACTGATTTCCAGACTCTATGAATTAATAGCACGGAACAAAGGAATTGAATTACATGGTTAAATATTATGTTTAATAATGATTTATATATTCTGTTTAATAATGATATCCACTGCCCATGAAGAGTTTGTGCAATGCTCTGGCCTTTCCATCCTCACTGGATCACTTTTTCAAAAGTCAGACGTGTTCATATGGAAAGAAAATGGATGAGATCCATCTATCCTGCTCCAGTCAGTCTCCTTCCAAGAGTTCTGGTTTGTATGAATTCCCCTTGCCATAGGCTACCAGGAAAAACATGTTTCCCCTGGGAAAATGACATATTTTCCAAAAAATTCTGCAAGTTTCTGTTGCAAAAAGGAGAAATACCCCTTCAGGAGTGTATAGAAATATCTTTTTTTTTTTTTTAAAAAAAAAAAAAGAGAGAGGGAAGAAAAGGAAAAGAAAACCTCTAAACTATTTTGGAAAACCTGCTTATTTGTGTCCCTGTGTCTCTGCCACAAACTCTGATGGAAGAACCACTCTCACCACAGCCAGAACTGCAAGTCTCAGTGGCATCATGAGCAAATCTTTGCCCTCCAAACCCTCAGCTCACTCCTAGAGCCCTGCTGAGGGTTTTCCAAGTCTGGACAATGAGGAGTTACCTTTGCTCCACGGATCTCACCTTTGGTGGTTTCACTCTCCCGGACCAGGAAAGAGCCAACTTTGTTCCCAGAAGACAACAGCAGCCTTTCAGCATCTTTTCTGCTCAGAGTTCTAAAATACCACCTGGGAGACAGAAAAAACAAAATCATGGCTCGAAAAGGAAAAACCCTAAAGAAAAAGGAAATTCTTCCACTTAGTTCTTTCTTTTTTTTATTATTATTATTACACTGTGAAACTGAGGGTTGTTCTTATCATCAAGTAGTTTTGTATCTGCTGGAAAGTAATAGATTGTTTTGGGTAGATTAACACCAGATTTGGGTCACTTTGGGCTTGTTTCACAGCGTGGAAATTCAGACAGTGTGGGGAGTAGATGGGATGTGCTGGATCCCATACACAGAAGTTCAGGCTTTGGATACAAAGAACTTTTATGTCTCTGCCACCTTTCTGTGAGCTGCTAAATATTTGCTAAACTCAGTGGTGGTTGGGTCCCTCCAAGAAGAGATTGCAGGCAGGACTGATCATTTAGAGCTGAATTCCAAAGAGGAAGATAACTCATGGAAAAAAATTCCCCTTCTGTTTGTATTATAGGCAAAACAAACTCTTTTGGCTCCAGCCTTTCATTCGATCTCCCTTGCAGGGAGGCTTCACCTGGGCTCATTTTAAAAGCAGCACTTTTAAAATGAGCCCATTTAAAGTGGGTCTGGGCACTGGCACTCGGTTTTCTGCCTTGTTAAATTGTTAGTGTGGTCCCTGGCAGATCCAAGACCTGGATCAATGCACCCCATCCAGAGATTCCCAGTTTACATATGGAAGGTGAAGAGGTTTAACACCATTTGTGTGGGTGGACTGGCCCAGTGGGTACAGAAGATGGTCCCTGGCACTGCCCCCATAACCTTTCTGTCATCCTCCCCCAAATCCTTGTTTCCCACAGTGGGTGTAATCAATGGGACAAGAACCTTTTCCCACTTTCCCCACAACAACCTCATCCTCTCTTTCCACACCAATATGATGATTAAAAACTTGTCCTGAGATTTTGGGCAGCATTGTTTGGGATGAGGAAAGACCTCCTGCCATCCAGCCCAGCAGTGACACCTTCCTGCAGTCAATAAATCTCTGCCTGGAGCTTGCTGAGATCCAGGGCACTGCATCTGTGTTGATCTCTCAAAAGCTTTCCCACTTACTTTTCCTCTTCCAAACTGTCCACTTGTGCCACGAAGTTGCTGGGGATGTATCCTTTCCTCCCAGTGCTGAGGGACTCTGCCAGCCACCAGTCCCCCTCGCTGCAAAGGGAGCAGAGGAAAAGGTGTGAGTGCCCAGAGGAGGTGTTGGGACAAGCTGAGGCTGTGAGGACGGGGATTGTGGGGTTGGAGCACTGCAGATGGACTAAGACTCCATAATCTTCTCTGTAGCTCCCTCTGGATTCCCTAGGACCAAAGCCAGGTTGGAGGCTGTTGGTGTTTCAGGGACTTGTGGAGGTGAAAATCTCTTTCCATGAACGAGGAGCAACCACAGACCCAAACCTTTGCCACACACCTTGAGTGAGAGGAGGAGCATCAGGGTCACGGGGTTTATTTTGTCTCTTGAACAGGGCAGTGGGGTCCTTTCTGCTCCCTCCTTTGTGCTCCAGATACCTCACCTTGCTGTCCCACTGCTGCCTGAGCCACCAGCCATGCCCCAAAGCCATCCCCATGTGAGCGCTTCTACAACTCCTTGTCTCACAGGTCCCAGTCCAGAGTGTCTGGGTGAGAAATGTCACCTCTGGAGGCCACTTCACAGAGCAGCCAGGGCTGGAGCAGCCCTGCAGGGTCTGGGGGCCCCAAGCCCACCTCTGCCCTGTTGTGGACTGGGCCTCTTCTGTGGTGAGTTTGAGAAGCTGAAATGAAACCTCACAAGTGTCTGGCTCAGTCCTGTCCTTTCCTCTGACTACACCCAACCCACATCCTTTGCAGAAGCAGAATCAGCACAAACACAGGGCAGGAGCTGTTTTTTCTGTTGTTGTTATTTGTGCTGCTTCTGCACCCACTGATGGCAAAGAGGGTCCTGGTAGCACCCAGGCAGGGACAATACCCAGCCCCAGAGCATCTGTGACCCACAGAAGTGTCACTGTGCAGAGAAGAGCCCGCAGCCACGCTCTGGAGCAAAGCCAAGGCACAGGCTCAGCTCTGGTCAGCTGCAAAGTGGTGTCTGACCCCAAGGTCCCCCCTTTCCCAGCCTCCTTGTCCTCATTTTTGAGCTTCCTCCTGGCAGCAGGTCACTCACTTGGAGAGGACCTGGAGTTTCTCCCCCTTGACCAGCTCCAGGTCACGGTCACTTGAGGCAGGAAAATCGTACAGTGCAACCACGAACAAGTGATCTGAAAGAAGAATTAACACCTTTGAATCCAGACTGCTCCTTGAGCGGCTTGATGCACACCTGGGTGTCTGGTGGGGCATTTCAGCCCCTAAACATGGGGTTCTGTCATCCTCCCACCCCCCAACCCAACCTTTCCACCAACCCTGCTCACCATAACCTCTGCTCAGGGATTAACACTGATTCAACAAAGCATTTCCTGTGTACATATTTTTAAAACACTGCAGAACCAGCCCCCCAGTCCACAAAACTCAGAATGCCAACAAGAAAAAGGGACTTGCGTGGAATTAGAAGGGTCATAAATAACCTGTCAGAGTTGAGTCTGAGTTTTGCACAGTGGTAAATGAAAACTGCAACACTTCCCAGGGTGGCTGTGGAATTTGACTCTAAATGATGTGGGTTTTTTGATTGAAAAAGCAAAAAGTCATTGCAGTCTCTGTTATTTGAGGCTGTTTCTGGGATTTAGCTCTCTGTGGGCTCATGGTCTGTGGCCTGTGCTCTGGGCTCATTGAGGATCTTGTCATCCCTCCCTCTTGAACACCTTTCCTTGCAGATCATGGAATAGTTTGGGTTGGAAGGGACCTTGAAGACCTCTCATTCCACCCCCTGCCCTGGGCAGGGAGAGTTCCCATTATCCCAGGCTGCTCCAAGCTCTGTAAAACCACTGGCCCTCATCCTATTTCTGTCAGCCCATATGAAAATTCCCTCTCTCCTTGCTGTGAGCCTTGTCCTGTGCCACCATGCTCTGACACAGCCCGGGGCTGCAGCTGAAGCTCTCGGTTTGCAAAGCCCAGGGGTGCTGGGGCTGCTCTCGGGGAAGCTGTGCAACCCTTCCCCTGTGCTTTGCACTCTCTGAGCTGCTGAAGCAGAAAAGAACAGCTATTTTGGGGAGAATCAAAATTTATACAAAGAATCAGCACATGTACAGGATCATGAAAATCAGACCAAAACACTGTGGTGAAAAAGGAAAGGAAAGGAGAAGGAGGGAAGAAAGGAGAAGGAGGAGGAGGAGAAGGAGAAGGAAGAAAAGATTGAGAATAAAGAGAAAGAGAAAAATAAAAATAGGATAAAAATTAAAATTTAAAGGAAAAAGGAAAAGGAAAAAGGAAAAAGGAAAAGGAAAAGGAAAAGGAAAAGGAAAAGGAAAAGGAAAAGGAAAAGGAAAAGGAAAAGGAAAAGGAAAAGGAAAAGGAAAAGGAAAAGGAAAAGGAAAAGGAGAAAAAGAAAAAGAAAAAGAAAAAGAAAAAGAAAAAGAAAAAGAAAAAGAAAAAGAAAAAGAAAAAGAAAAAGAAAAAGAAAAAGAAAAAGAAAAAAAAGAAGAAAAAGAAGAAAAAGAAGAAAAAGAAGAAAAAGAAGAAAAAGAAGAAAAAGAAGAAAAAGAAAGAATGGGAACTGTGCTGCAGAAAGGCTCAGCCTAATTAATGCATGGAGACGGATGGACAGCCTATTATTAGCATTTTTCAAAACAGCCTGTCAAGCCACTGTCTTTGGGTGACCTTTTCAAATAATGCCACCAGCAAGGGAGCCAGACTGGCCCTTTGTCACAGCAAGATAACCCTGTCTCTGGGGCAACTTGGGGTTCGTGTCTGTGCAGGGCTGGCTGCTGCTCCGATGGCAATTTGTTAGCGAGGAGAAAGGGTCAGCGTGGGAGGAAAGGCAGCTCTGGAAAGCAGAGCCCTGAGCAGCTCCCTGCAGGCTTTTGAGAAGGAAATCGGAGATCCATGAGAGGTTCCAGCAGAGCCTCTCTCCCAGGATGGGAAAAGGATGATCAGTCACGAGGGAGGATGCTTTGAAGTCTGAAAATAGCTGGCACGGTTGGGGGCTTCCCCTTGAGGCAGCTCGAATTAGCAATGCACCCAAACTCTGTCTGCCTCCTTGAGAAAGTTGTTATCGCACATCTGCTCAGACATGAAAGACTTTGGGCCGTGTGCCTCCTGTGAGGTGTCCACAGCCAGCCTGTGATCCACACACACACCCTCTCCCTCTCCTCTGGAAAGGGAAATAATGCAGTGATCACGCTCCTGCTTGGAAAAATGGGAGCAAATGTGGAAATATCTCCAAGCCCAGAGTGGCTGGGTACTCCAGAAAATGAAAACGGAGTTTTGATCTCGAAGTGACTGACGTAAGTGAAAATAAATGAAGTTAAAAAGAGGGAATACAGCAAGGACAAAAAGGGTTTGTATGCTGAAAAAAATGCTTTATCACCTCTTATCCCAAAACAGGCGCTGAGAACACTGAAATGAGCCAGAAGAAAGCTCTCTCTGCCCAAGCCAGCAGGAGTTGCCATCTCATGATGAAAGGGGCTCTTCCTGTCCCTGAGTCCATCACACCAGGAGAAATGCATGGATAGCATTGCCTTAGCCAGTTTGATCCACTTGGGCCACGAGAGGCTCTGCAGATAAAGCTGCCAGCCCCAGGCTTTGATTGGGAGCCAAACACATCCTGGCTGGGAGCTGCTGTCAGGAAAGTCTGATACCAGCAGGGTTTGAGGAGGCTGAGCGCCAGCTTGGTGGCTCAGTGGGGGTGATTCAACCAATCCTCCCACTGCTGGCTTGTCCTGAATGGAAGGACTTTGCAACCACCTCATGGCCACAGAGCTGGGCTCAGACTGTGCCAGGGTGTCCCAGAGGATCAGCCCTTGGTTTGGAGCCCTTTTAGGATGGTCCTGGTGTCAGTGACAGCCTGCAGGACACGCTGGGCAGCAGGGTGCACTGAGCTGTGGGTTACTGCTGCTGGAAATGGGGTCAGCTCTCTGTCTCAGCCTGCCATGGGCTGGAATCACTGAATCCTAAATTTGGGGAAGATCTCTAAGGTCATCAAGTCCAACCCAGCACTGCCAAGGCAACCCCTAAACCATGTCCCCAAGTGCCACATTACTGTGGCTTTTAAATCCCTCCAGGGATGGTGATTCCATTGCCTGGGCAGCCTGATCTGGAGACTGATAATACTTTTTGTGATTTTTTTTTTCACTAATATCCAATTTAACCCTCCCCTGGTGGGTTAAATCTCCTCTTGTCCTTTTGCTTTTTACCAGGGAGAAGAGCCCAACCCCTACCTGGCTACAATCTGTTTTCAGGGAGTTGTACAGAGACAGAAGTTCCCTTCTGAGCCTCCTTTTCTCCAGGCTCAGCCTCTTTCCCAGCTCCCTCAGCCTCTTTTCCTCAGATGTGCTCCAGATCAAGGTAAACATTTTTGATGAGAGGTTTTAATTTCTCACTAAAAACTCATCCTTTTCAGTAGAAACAACCCTTCCTTTTCCCACTTCATCTCAAACTCACATTTCTGACAGCATTCAAGTGCAAAACCACATTCATGTAACAACAACAGAAACGACCAAGAATTTCAGCATGAACCTTGAGATGCTGCAAAAGACCTCAAGTTCCAGAGCATCTGGATCTGAAACTCAGTCCTGATCATATTTTGGTCAGAAAGAAGCAAGTGAAGAGGTGGAAGAAGTTGTGGTTCCTCATGAGAAGAAGTGGCCTCACAGAGAGTTTGACTCCTTGTGCTGCTTCAGGTTGTTAAAATCCCTGAGGACAAGCACCCAAAACCACCAGCTCTTTCCATCAGTGGGATTTAAATCCAGCTGTGAGCAGCTGGCAGGGCAAGAGCAGGGGTTATTCTGCCTATTTTCTATGTCTTATCCATCCAAAGCAAGCAAACAGCAGCTCTACCATGGGATTCTTGGGTTTGGGGCCCACCATGGGCCAGGACTTTGCAGTGCTGGGGGCTTTGGGGGTTCAGAATTAAAATTTTGACACCAAAGAGACTTAAAACCAGCCTTAAAAACTTTGTGATTGCTCAGGGAACGGCGCTAAAATGAATGGGAGACTCACACCATGGAAGAACCTCTCCAGATGAAAAAAGGATTGGTGATGCCACATGCACCACATTGAATCCAGAGTTCTGCACCCCTTGGCTGCCTTTGTGTTACTTCCATGAGGATAAATAATGTCAGGAGGAATTAGGGGTTTTTTGTTAAAAAAAAAACAGAATGATTTTTGAGACAGGGGTGTGAAAGCTGGAAAGAGTGAGACAATTTCAACAACTCAAGATCAGGAAAAAAAACAAAGAAAAATCATTCAAAATGCAAGGAAAGAAAAAAAAACACCAACACAAAAATTAAAAAAAAAACAAGGAAAAGAAAGGGTTGATTTTACATTACATGCCACACTTCCATAGCCAATAATTTTTCCTGATTGAATTTAAAGTGCTCCCACTGGATTTAATTCATCTCTCTGAATTTATTTTTTTATATGACATGATTGCCTGGATTTTGTGCTTTCTCTTTTGATTCATTTGAATTGCTGTCACTTAGAAGAAGATCTCTGGTATCTCAAATATCTTGCATGATTCTTATCAGCCTGTTTTGCCACGAAGGGCACAGTCAGATGTACTATCATTTCAGAAAACTCAGACACTGGCAGAGAAAAATAGGAAGCTTTCCACATTGTCAGTGTGAATATTCCTCCAGAACTGGAACTGAATCTAATGAACAAAATTCATTTTGAGAGCTGAAAATGGCTAATATTGTACTTAATCCATTTTTTTAGCACCTTTCCACTTCTGCCTTCAGGCATGAAGGAGAAGTAAAATCTGCCTCCCTGATCACAATTTCTGCTGTGACTCTGACCCAGAGTGGGGAAAAAAAAAAGTGATAAAAATCCTGTGATAAAACCCCTGTGATAAAACCCCTGTGATAAAAATGCTGTGAAAGTCTGTGAAGTCAATCCCTGCTCAGCTGGGGAGGTGGGAGAGCACGGCTGCTTAGAAATGTGCCATGAAAACAATTCAGCAAAAGAATTTCTGGAAAAATGGTATTTCCATGAAAACACACCCTAGCTCACACGGTTGAGGATCTTCACCTCCCACAAATTTGATCTCCATAACAAAAGCCAAATTTGAAGAATATTTTGATGCTGCAGGAGTTCCTGTGCTGGGCCCATGGTAGGGACCCTCCATCACCATCCATAAGACCTAAGAGGACCTAACACTGTCATTCCCATTTATTCACCACCCCCTTTTCTCTTCCCTCACACCATCTCCCCTAATCCTACCCTTTCATCCACATGAAGAACTTCCATGAGTTGCTAACTGCCCTCTTCTAAGCTTCCTCTATTTTTTCCCCCCCTCTTCTACTTATCTCTCTCTTTCTGTCCTTAATCTGCAGAACTTCTTTGACAGAAATACACATGAGCTGCTGTTGGAGGCTGGGCAGGGGGAGCTGGGGGCTCCCTGCTAAAAGACAATAATCTCCAAACACCATCTGTGACCCGCAGATAATTGCAGAGGTGGATGAAGCCAGCAGCCCGTCTCCAGGCAGGGGCTCTGTGTATCCTTATTTTATGCTCTTTCCTTTCTTCTCCTTCTCTTTGTAGCCTCTCTGGGCTCTCTGATGCCTGCTATTTCCTCTGAAACTTTCAGCTGGCTGGATAAAGCATCCGTGACTTGTCAGTCTGCAGACAGGGCAGAGAAATCTCACAGCTCCAGTCTCAGATCTCCCTTTGCTCCTCCAGCCGTGGAATCACAGGATTGGAAGCGACCTTAAAGATCACCTGGTTCCAAAGCAGAGGGAGTGCTTTTCCCTCTCCATTTCCTTGATGAGCAGGGGGAAATTGGCAGCTGCAAAGGCTTGGTGATGTAAACTGAGTTTTCTGAAGCAATCTGATAAACTCCCCGTCTGGCACAGCTGCGAATGCAGAAACCACAGGCCAGTGACGTGATGGCTTGTCCTCAAACCCTGACATTTGGGGACCACCACCCTGAAAAACCCCGCGGGGAGGCAAAGAAAGCAGAACCTTACCTTGTGCAGAGGCTTGGTTTAGATGAGGGTTGTTGATAGCTTGTCTCCCCTGTGATGGAAATAGAAAGGAAAAAAGGAGGTATTTATTACTTTGCTGTGTGTCAGGAAGAACTGATTTCAGCTTCACAGACAAGTGGGAGTCTGGTCCAGAGTAAGTCAGCAGCCCCTGTGCCTGGCTCCACACATCATGATGGCTTTAGCACATTTTGCCATGAGGTGTTCATAGCTGTCTCCACAGAAAGCTGGAATAACCCTTGGCTTCCCTCTGGGCTAAAGCAGAAATCTGCTGCCCACTCATTTGGAACCCGCTCTGTCCAACCCCTGTCCACTGATGCCAGATTTCGGGTCACTGAGGGATGAGATAGGAATGGTCCAAATGAGAAATAGCAATTTCAGAATTGTTTGAAGCAGAAAAACAGAGATATTGTCTGCCATAATTGTCCCAAGGGTCATGGGTATATGATATCCTTTGCTCAAGATTACATTCAAAAAATGGAGGCAGTAACTGCGACAGCAAATTCATCAGAGAGCTGCAGAAATCATAGAATATTCAATGGTCCTTGTGGATATCCACTCAGGATAGTCTGTGATTCAATGATTCTATGATTCCTGAGATGGAAGGGGCCCAGAAATATCACTGATCCAGCTCTGGGCCCTGCACAGAGACTCCAACAGCACCTGCTTTAACAGACAAATATCAGCAAGTTACTGCAACTCACCTGGGCAGTTTTAAAATGTTGACTTTGGCCCTGGTTTGGTTTGGCCCTGCTGCTGGAGCTGGCAAATTGTCCATAGATCACTCCAAATGAATTGGGATGGAACCACCTTGTTTTGGGGGATAACAGTTTGAAACTGGCCTTCACCCACCTTACAGAGCCTGTGGTGGGTGTTTGACCACAGCAGGTACTTTTATACACGTGCTAAAGTGGTGAAATACAGACACAGAACTAAAAACACCTCGTGTTTTCTGCCTGCACCACCCTTTTATACTGATAGTGGCTCCTCTCCAGTGGGCTGGACAGAGCGAAATTTAGGAAAATAACATCTTTTTTGTCAACTGACATCTGCTGTCATGAAAACTGGACTGAATAGCCATGGGAGAACTCAGAAAAGCAAGTAAAGGTGTGAAAAACATCTCCAGCTGTCATACAAAGCAATGATTACCAATTCCTCCCCTCTCCCAGGGCTCGAGGTGGTTTTCACATGAGAGTTGCACCTCGAGTTTCTCTTGTGCTGGCTGCTGGCTGCAGTGCTGGCAGGGGCAAGGAAAGACAGAACAATTTCATGTCCTTTGGACATCAGCAGAGGTGAAGTGACTCACAAAGTTTAAACAAGAAGTTTGTCATTTGAGCTCTCCCAAACACTTCCCCAGCTCCTTCCTGCTCTGTGTCCACGCCAGCAGAGGCTGGGGCAATGCAAAGGGAGCAGCAGATTTCTGAGTCTCAGCTCACCCCAACACAGATCGGCTGCAGACCCCCTTCTCTGCGCCCGTGGAGGACTCACAGTGGGGAAGTTTCCATTGTGGTTTGCAGCTTTGAATCTTAGCCTGAATCTGACCCATCTTGCAAGTCAGCAACATCAGCCTGGGTTTCAAAGTGCTGATGAGAAGATATTTCAAAGTACCAATACACAGTGTTTTAGGGGTTTTATATATACAGAGGTTTCTTGGAGCCCTTCCCATCCCTGTCCAAAAGGGATCAGCTGGGAGGACCAGGTTTTCCAGAGAAGCTGTGGATGACCCTGGATCCCTGGAAGTGTCCAAGGCCAGGTTGGACAGGGCTTGGAGCAGCCTGGGATAGAGGAAGGTGTCCCTGCCCATGGCAGGGGGTGGAACTGGATGGGCTTTCAGCCATCAACCCAAATAATTCTGTGATTCTAAATATTGCCTGCATCACTCCAGACACCAGCTGAGCTGTGAGGGGATCCCAAAAGGACACAAAACTGCAGGCTTACCTTGGGTGGGGCAGGAGGAGGTTTGCCCTTGGTTTTTGGGTTGCCTCCAGAAGTGTGTTTCTCATTGGGCATCAGCTGATTTTTGCTGCCAAACAACCCCATCCTGGAAGGAAGAGCAGAAATTGTTCTTGATGAGACTGCTCTTGGGGAAAGGTGCAGGCACAAAACAGTCTTTGCATTCATGAAGAACCAGGTGGGGAAGATCAGAATGCAGGACGATGGGACAGGGAAGAGAGGAGTTTAAAACCATCCTGTCTACAGTTCTCCTGCTACCTTGGACCTTGTGAGCCCCATGGTTTTTGTTCCCATATGACCCTGGTGTTTCACACTTCACAAATGAGGTTCAGACAGATGCTGTAAGTCACCAAAAAAACAACAAAAACAAAAAGGCTGAAATTCTTTGGATATGTCCCTCTCCAACTCAGAGATCCCCACCTGATACTGAACTTGCTCCAGAGCTGGGTGATGCCAGCGGGATGAAGATGGATTTATCAACAGCCCTGTGCTGAGCTGTTCAGCTGCACCAGGGCTTCAGGAGGGTCACACAGTGCCTGGCCCAGGAGCTCGGGCTGCTCAGAGCTTTCTGCAGCTCGTGTCCCTCCCACGCAGCGAGGGCAGCGCGCAGACGTGGCCGTGCACGGAACCAGTCCCGCTGCTCCTCACGTTTCAGCAGCACAGACTCACACCTGGTTTGTCCAGGAAGCCACAGGACCTCTTTGGCCCTTTGGAATACTGTAAGAAGTTTTAGGAATGTGGTGCAGCTTGCATCCATCCTGCTTGTAAAGTGTGGGCTGAGGGATTGTCTCGTCCATCTGCAATAGTCGGGTACTTTTTGGTGTGCTCTGGGTCCTCACAAGGTGTGGTTCTCCCAGAAATCATGGATTAGGTTCCCCCATACCCTATGGATGCCTCAGACCTCCTGGACACCCCAAGGATCACTAGATACAAAGGAATCAAAGCCTTTCCATGGATCATCATCTGGTCTGCATTAAGGTTTCCAAACTTGGGCTTGAGGAGTGTTTGACTTTCATCCTAGAAATGTAATTTCAACTCCGGTCAGGAATTCAAGGATAATAATGGGTCTGGGTAGCCAAAATGGCCAAACTCTGCTTGGAGCCTCAAAAATGAAGGAGCAGATGAAGCCAGCATTGCTGAAGTGCAACATCCAGTGCCAAAGTCTGTCCCACCCCTGCTTTGAACCAAAGGCTTTGGAAGGTATGGCCTATATGCCCCAAAACCCCCAAAATTCAAACCCTGAATAGTCACAGCTGTGCAGAGACAAAATTGACTCCTATTCTTGCCAAAATACCTCAATGTCTGCCTTGATCATGGAGGATCAGGGACCTCAGATCCAGGGACATCCCCCAAATGTCAGTCTGGTACTGTGTCTTGGTACCAGTGTGTTCAGAAAAGCTCCAAGCAAGCCAGACTCACAGGGAAACATATTCCAGTAAAAACAACTCTTTTTTTTTTTTTTTTTTGCTTTCTAGCATGGATCTAATATTTCAAAATCTGGGACTGTGAAATGAGGTTTCTAATGGAGCCACCACAATATTTTAAGGTTTGTTTTTTTTTTAAATGCTTTCTCCCTACTACTTTATTTTTATCATCACTGATAAGGTGTGCAAAACAGAAGGAACTGGTGAAATACTTCAGGATAGCCTGAAACACATTTCCCCTCCATCCAAAACTTTTTCATCTCTGAGATTTCCTTTGACTTGAGTTTACAGATGGCCCATCCTTCTGTCCCCAAGCCTCAGCTCCTCTCCAGGCACTGACAGCGTGGTCAGAGGGGGAGTTTCACCTATTAAATCAACCAGAGCAGTTCCTGCAGCAATTTCATTTTCATCTGACAGCCTCCAGGTTGCACCCAGAGCTTGCTCTGTTTAGCAGATCTGGTGGGGCAATGGCACATGATTCATTAGAGGAACTTTTTCTGCTCTTCCACTCACAACTTCCTGCCAGGATTTCAGATTCTGGATTGTGGGGTTTTTTGCTATGAGAGTGGCTGGAATTTTCTTTTTACACAGGGAACAGCAAGGTATCATTTTAATTCAAGGTGGGATGATGGATAAGTTTTAGCTGTCACTCATTACCAGCTGTGAAAGACAGAAAATCCACCTACAAGTTTGACATGGATTTGTTGTCCTTTTTATGGTCTCACTGGAAAATCCTGGGATCTTTGCTATACTCTGCTCCCAAATGAGAGATAATTCATGCAACTAACATGTTTCCAGCAGATTTAGGGAAAGTGAGACTCAGCACAAGTCAGCAATTTGCTTTGACTGCCAGCTGTGTCACAAGGATGATCTTATGGGAGGACTGAGAGACATCCACAGGATCATGGATGCTTCTGTTGGGGTTTCCAGTTGCTCTCAATGCGTGATGGCAATGAAAAATACCCTCAAATATCTCCTCCCACACACATCCTCCCTCTCCCCTTCCTCCCTGTGTCGAGCGGTGTAATTCATCCAAAACTAAGAACACCAGGTACTCACATAATTAATGGAACACTAACTAACTAACTAACTAAAAAAATAAATAAAATTAACATTAACATTAACATTAACATTAACATTAACATTAACATTAACATTAATAAATTATTAATTTATCTATTTAATAATGCATTAATTATTTAATATATAAATTTAACATTATATTATTATATTAATATATAATACACTTATTATTATTATTATTATTATTATTATTATTATTATTATTATTATTATTATTATTATTATTATTATTATTATTATTATTATTATTATTATTATTATTATTATTATTATTATTATTATTATTATTATGTTTGAGATTATCTGGGGGCCTGCAAAAGGGTATAAACTTCTGTTGGAGATTTGACCCACTGGACCAACTGGTCTTCCAAGAGGGAAGGCAACTTCTGGATGGGTCTTGACCCTGGCAGGGACACCTGCAGGACATGCAGCCCAAAGATGGGGAGCACTCACTTTTGGGTGGGTGAGTTTTAATTTCAATTTTAATTTAATTTAATTTAAATTTAATTTACATTTTCAATTTTCTCTGTTCAAATACAGAGATAAATCCTAAAGTAGCTCCACAGGTGCTTTACAGTTGTGAATTCTGCAGGGCCAAAGACTGAAAATGTGTACATTTCTAGATGAACTTGCTTACACTGTAATGCTTTAGTCATAGCCTGTTGACCAAATCTGAGCCTCAGTGGCTTGAGACACACTTTGAGCCATTTAGAAAGAGAGGAGATCTTGTGACTCACCAGGAGAAACTGCGACCTGGTGACATTATAACATTGCCATAGATGATGGAGCTGTTATTTATTCATCAGCAATATTTATTGTATCAGCTATAAATCTAATCATAATCATCCACACCATCACTGTGTCCTGCTTCTCCCACTGGGCCAAGAATCTTCTCGTGGTGACTGCACAGGTGGGGCAGAAAGGGAAAGGCCTGGAGGAACATCAACCTCAGCAAACCCCACCAGGGCTTGGGGCCATCCCAGCTCCTCTGGCAGTGTTTGAGAGGAGTGGGCACCACAACCTGACCTGTGCACCCCTGGGGGGACATTGCAGCCCTTTCTGCACCCTGCTGAGACTGGAAACACCTCTCTGCAGCCTTGGACAGGCTCAGCCTTGTCCCCACATGAGTGTCGGAGACACAGCCGTGCAACAACCGCTCAGAGAGGGGAACAACACAGCCCACTGCAGGTCAAGCCTCCCACAAAGGTCACTCGCTCCCACCCACGCACAGAAGGGGTTAGAGCAGCTCTGGGGATTCACAGAATCCCTACAAATTCCACCAGTCCCACTCTCTCACTTGCCTCTGACACCTTTGGCACCCAACGCCACCATCCCTTGGGCCAGCAGGTGCTGAACAAAACCCAAAAAGGTCCTGCAGACAAATGTTGGATACAGAGAGCTGCTGGTTCCCATTTCACAGCTGAAATTCAATTGTCAAAAAATAATTTTATTTTCAAAAATAAAGGCAGCTGAATTGAGTGTACGTCACGCCAACGTGTTTCACTTCTGATTAATGCTTTTAAAAATTATCTTCACGAGAAAAAACAAATGAGAAAAACCATTTAGAGTAGTTCTCCCACCCAGTTTTTATTTTTTTTTTCCACCACTGGAAAGGAGCATGGTGAAGAATACAATAACTCAGAAAATCATGGAAATTTCCTTTAGTGAATTTATAGTTTTTCACATCTAAAAATATTGGTTTTATTTAATAACTAAGAGGGGAGAAACTTTTTTCCTCAAGCCTCCAAATTTATAAAACAAGTCCTTTTTAAAGTGAAAAAATCAAAGCAGAACAAGCAGAACAAAAAAGTTTTAAGGCAACACAAAGTTTTTTTCCATATCCCTCTTCATCAGGGAATGAAGTGATAGGACAAGGAGAAATGAGTTTAAACTGAGAGTGGAAATTTAGGTCTGATATACAGAATAAATTCTCCCCTGTGAGGGAGGTGAGGCCCTGGCACAGGGTGCCCAGAGAAGCTGTGGCTGCCCCTGGATCCCTGGAAGTGTCCAAGGCCAGGTTGGATGGGGCTTGGAGCAACCTGGGATAGAGGAAGGTGTCCCTGACCATGGCAGGGGGTGGAATGAGGTGATCTTTAAGGTCTCTTCCAATCCAAATCATTTTATGATTTTATGATCCTATATGCATTAAAAAAATAACAAAAATCATTTTTAGAAACAAAATGATGGAATTCTTGGGGTGGTCCTGTGCAGGTCCAGGAGCTGGACTTGATGATCCTTGTGGGATCCTTAAAACTCAGGATATTCTACAGTTTTATGAGTGCAGCTCAGCTGCTGCTAGGTCATGAGTAAAAATTATTTGATGCAGAGATGTTCCTGGAAGAGCCAAGCTGAGGATCAAACAGACACCAGGACAATGAACTCTGTGGTGCAGCCAGCCCTGAATTTGTGGGACAGATGTGCAGGAACAGGTCACAGGAACACCAGATGTTGTGGGCAGAACCTCTAAAACAGACTGTGTGCCCACACTGGGGAATGATAGAATGCAATTTTAGCAGCCTTCACAGGGGCAACTGAGGTGGCATTTTGGCTACAGAAGGGTGGACACAGGTTCAAGTGTTTC